CCACATCCCAGAACCCTACTTGGGGGAAGGAAGAATGGATCATGACCCAACATAGATCGAAAGCAGTCTGAGGCACTAAATAGAATTTAACAAGACCAAATTCTTCCATGTAGGTCCATTCGACCGCAAACCGCATCCAGGGAGGGTGTCAGTAGAAGGGAGAGATAGATCAGATCAGAGTCACTTGAGTAATCCTGGGGAAAGGAATCTGTGAGAAGAGAACCGTTTAGCCATCCCTCACATCCCAGAACCGAACATAGATCGAAAGTGGTTGGAGGCAACATGACCAAATTCCTCCATTTGATCCTTGTGACCTGCTATCAAGCCCTCGAACTGCATCACCTCAAGCCAATGCAAGTTTTAAAAATGCCCCTCACCCTGTATGATAATAGGAACATCAATTCTATCGAGTTACATCAATTCTATTAGGATATGTACCGTAGTAGCAATGGGATTTGGACCAATTAACAGCTAAATGGATAAACATAGTACCATACCTAGGAGCAATAGTGAGCCAGTACCAATCCATTAGTATTTAGCATGAATTAGCACAACCAGCATGTCCAGTGGAAAGATGACCATGTGGATACACAGAGGTTATTGTTATACTTGGCGTTCCAGAGGTTATAAGTTAAAGCAGAGCTTTTACTTAAAGATGTAATATGCTTGTGCAGTAATGCTATACAAGTACATTATGGCTTATTAAACTTGGAATGGAATGTTGATCTGAAAAAGCTGCTACACCACAAGTCACAGGGAAGCTCACTCGTGTAGTGCATCCATCTTCAGTAGGGGAATGCTATTCACTTACACTGTATGTATGATAAGAGAGCCTTCTTGGGTTACTCTTAATGGGTTTGTGTAGCACTATGATTGCACATTGGAGCAGTCACCGTTGGTCTGATGTATTAAAACCGGGGGAAAAAATAACTACCAATGGGAATGCTTGTTTGATTTTTTTAAACAGCTTTTAGAAGCAACGCCATTTTCTGCTTATGTTTTTTTCTCCTGTCTTAAACAATTTTGTGACAGTGTTTTTAAAGCGTAGATGCCCATACCAAGTTTAGCAGCATCAGTATGTGTCAATTAATTCAACAATAATCCTATGAATAATTTGTCCATTTGTCAGCAGGTCCAAGAGTTAGGAACACATGTATTTGCACATTCCTAGTTCTCTGTCCTAAGGTTAATTAACATTCTGACGGTAAGGGGCATTTTACAATTGGACTTAATGTGCGTATTGTGGTCATGAGGAGGTTATTGTATTAGCCTCATTGCTGCAAATTGCATAAACTACTGTATAAAGGACAGGTTCACTTTTAATAAAAGGTTCACCCTCACTAGCCTACGCTAATCTAGAAACCCCATCCAGCTAAAAATAGCAATAACAGGACTATATAGACATTTGAACATTGCATTAAAATGGCTATATAGTATAGAACTGTATTTGTATGGCCATGGTCAAGCTGTGATGACAACTTTCACAGCCATGGACACATCAGATGAAATTCCTAATCAAAGCATCTGTACCCAGTAAAATCAAGCTGATGGTGACTCATGTCTTTTCTAACATAATACGAGTCACAAGCAAGAATAGCAATTTCCATTTTTAACTGAAAATCTAATTTAAAGTAAACCGGTCATATGGGATCTATAGTAACTGCAATTGCTGGCTCCATTCTGGCAATGGTAGTTAATTGGCTGTCATTCTGATTCAGTGGCGACAATACTTTCAAAGTCATTGCCCCAGAACAAGCGTTAAGGACTGGAACATGAGTGCTCCGTATGCTTGTCGCAGATGAGCGACTCGAACAATTGATAAAAGTAGGTTAGCGTGACCTCCAGGCATTTATCATTTTAAGGTGCTGAGCTACGGCAGACTCCATGTCTTTCCCAAGACAGCTTTCCGGTATTGTAAGGCCTTTAAACTTGTTAATTTTAGCTAATCAGAAACTACCAACTAACAACATTTTTATTAATGTCCTTCATTAATATAATAATGGTATGGCAGACTTTCTTTTTTAGTCAGTTTGGGTATTTGCAGATGGGAAAAGGTCATATTAATATAAGGTTATTAATTAAGAGGCTATTTCATGTAGCATTTTGATTCACTCTGAAAGTAACTGTTTGAAAAAGATTCATTGAAATCAAAATCGGTAAATCATAAAGCTATACTGTATGTAACGAATAATTGAACCGGTTTCAGAACCAAGGGTCATTATACAGCTAAGCAGAGCACAATTCCATACTCAGTAGTGTTAAAGTGCAGTGCACTATGGAACTTATTTATAATACAAAACATGCAAAGGAAAATGTCCTACACCCAGCCATGATTTTTTTTTCTTATGCAATAGATTAATGACAGTCAAGATCTGATTGGTTGCTACAGGCAAAACCTCCATTTTAATCCACTGATTTGTAAGCGAGTCTTTATGCAGCAATAGGCCCTTCAGCCATTCTTCGCAGTGTGTAAGCCAATATTTGACTTCTTTGTGATAACAGTCACAAGGTAAGCAGCGTAAATGGAAATCCTCTATGTGGTTGTAACTTACTGTCAGTCCCTGTCCTACTGTCCCTGAGTTTTACCTGGAGCTGCAATAACAGAGTTCCCCCACAGTGCCACCTGATATTACAATGCAACCATGCAAAAATGTGCTGCTGAATGAGCCTCATTGTATCTAAATGCTGAAACCAGTCCAACCAGCAATGAAAACAGAAGGACAGTGGTAGCAAAGTTGCATGCTAGTTTCTGCTTATTACACACAGGAATCGAAAGCAGTTGGACAATCAAATTTAAACTAAACTCTAGTTGGACTACCTTTGATTTATTGAAGCACTTTGTATTATAATCAATTACAATTTTTATTTTCTTCTTAAATGCTCGCACTTGCTCCAGCATGGGCTGCACATCAACAGTTTACTGATGTGGACAATTGTGATGTGTGTTGGCATGGCCAATTGTAGTCCCCACCAGCAGAGAAGATGACAGAGTGACAATGCTGGAGCACAATCCGGAGCCAGTTGTCACTCCATAACATGAAGTGCCTTAACCAGGACTTTCATGGCATCATGGCACGGTATGATTTCAACCACTTAAGGATTTTGAGCCATACGAGATGCATCCTAAAAAGATTCAAAAAAGTATTTCGGATGCATCTCTTATATCCAGTTCCTCTACTGCCGCTGCTCCCCGCTCCTCTATAACGGGCAATTTTCAGCTATCAAAATGCAGCCATTCCTGTGTAAAATGACACTTGCATATGTAGTAGGCAAGTGTCATTAAGTAAATACAATAAATCTATAGATTGTTTCTTTGTATTTACTATTTCTTTCATATGTAGATCAAAGTGGGACTTTGATCTGCATATCACTTAAGAAAACCTTACAAATTATTTTGTTTTAAATGAAATGTATTCCTATTTAACCCCTTAATAACATTAGTTAGCCTAATCAGCCCTAATTAAATCCCTCCCCCCTTTCTCCTCATAGCTATTTTTTTTCTGCTGCTTCTTATTTTAATTTTTTTTTTAACCATTTGGTTTTTTATTTTTTTTATTTGCAAATATCTTTGCTATGCTTTGTACTTGAAACATAATTTTTGTTTCATTTTAAACAGGACAAATGATACAATAAAATGTATACTTTTTGTTTACAGTAAGGCTCCTTTTACACAGGCTTTCTGATCAGGTCTGCCTGTCATTTTTCAGGTAAATCTGACTGGAAGCTAGAAAGCGACCTTCACGTGTTGCTAAGCAGTCTGGCTTCCTAGCCAATCATGAAGCTGGGCAGCATGTAATGACCCGCCTCCTGGCTTACTGTTTGGTCAGGAAGCCAGGCTGCTTAGGAACAAGTGAAGCCGGCTTCCAAGTCAATTAGGAAGCCGGGAGGCAGGTCATGACGTGCCAACCGGGTTCCTGATTGACTAGGAAACCAGTATCACTTGTTGGTAGGCAGCCTGGCTTCCTAGCCAATCAGGAAGCCGGGCAGCACGTCATGACTTGCGTCCTGTCTTTCCCAATTGATCAGAAAGCCACACTGCCTAGAAAAAAGTGAAGGCGGCTTGCTAGCCAATCAGGAAGTCGGGTGGCGGGTCATGATGCGCCACCCAGGTTCCTGATTAGCTAGGCAGCCGGCTTCACTTGTTGCTAGGCAGCCTGGCTTCCTAACCAATCAAGAAGCCAGACGGCACCTCATGACTCGCCACCCGGCTTCCTAAATGGTCAGGAAGCCGGGCAGCTTCTGAAGCTGGTGTTCTTTCACTAGAACACTGGCTTCACAGGTAATCAGGAAGCCGGGTGACGGGTCATGATCCGCCACCACCCTTCCTGAAAATTGGGGCACAAGGCACCGGTACTCAGTATCGGCGAGTACCGGAAAAAAATATTAGGTACTAGTACTCGATACCGAAAAAGCGGTATTGGTGCATCCCTAGGTAAAACACAAGCTTGCCAATAAATGAACATGGGGTGCAGCATCAACTCATGTTAAATGATTCATTACTTGCTTACATAATTCTTTTATGTAACCCACACTTCACCAATAGACAACAATGTACTCATGAGAATAGACAGGGTTACCCAACAATTGCTAAGGTCTTGACTATGTCTAAAGATCACAAATCAGGGTAACCGTACAATTTAACAGAGAAGGTGAATATAACATATTTAGACTGATTTTATAAGGCAATGCAAAGTGCAGCAATGTTGTGTAAAAGACAAAAACCCATATCAACCAAAAAATTTCAGAAAATGATTTCTTAGGTTGTTATAAATTATTTTGTACACAATCATTGCTCATTCCTACAATTATTATTCTGTTGGAAGTCACGTTAAATACTGTTGATTCTCATAGTTACATGCAATACACAAATTGGAACCAAGGCCTTGCTGCTAATATACAGTATGTTAAATTAACCTGGAAAATCCATTGTTCTGAAAATACAAACCTCATGATTAAGCAAGGTGTTGTCCTCTTATCATTGTAATCTGTTTCATCAGTAAAGTCATTGCACAAATTATACACAAAAGTTATAGCAAATGTGAAAGTCCATAATGGAAAAGTAAGGAGTAGAATAAATTAAAATGTGCTTGTTATTTCATCTCAGTGGTAAAACAGTATTGTAGGGTACTGTGCTTCTTCATGTGTCCAGTCTACTGCACAGCATCTTCAGGCCTGTCTCTGCTCCTTTCAAATCTTCTCTAATCCACATACCATTGTGAGGAATCAGTAAGCATTTTGCATAGTTTTTTTTTCCTTTATGTGACAACATTAATGAATTAGGATGTTCTTAATAGAGGCCCACTTTCGTCTTCCGTCCCCTAAACAAAGAACAGATGTGTTAAAACAAATCCATTACATAGCAATATGGAGATGCATGGGCAGTTATATGACATGGAGACTGAAGTTATATGATATATTTGTACACTAGCATGTGTCTGTTAGAAAATATTGATAAAATGTTAACTTTACAGAAGCAATAGATGAGAATGACTTTATAAGGAATTTAAAGCTGAACTCTGGGTGAAGCAAACATTGAGTAAATAAAATAGGCATGTGTATTATTACTTGAATCTTGGTCTGCTTTGTGTATTTCTTCCAGATATGTGCAGTAATCCAGTGTGTGTGTGTTTGCCTCTGTGCAGGAGCTTCTTGTAATAAAGACCAGTCACTGCTGCGCTCTCTCCTTATGCAGGGTGACTGGTCTTGTATCCGCCCCTCCAGGAGACAGTCTGTAGTGGGTGGAGCCTGCTGAGTCCCCTCTTAAAGCTCTGCTCTCGGAATATTCCACGTGTAGCACAGTGATGATGTCATAGCTATTTTCACATGTAACATCTAGTTTTCCAAAGGCATTTGGTGCACACAAGGTAGATTTACAGTACATCCTTTGTGATATTGCGGAATATATTTAGATGAAACATTTTGTGCCCAGAGTTCAGCTTTAACATTCCACTTTTCAAATCTTTTTTTGTTTAATAAATGTTTATTAGGATTGTAGTTTATACATGTGCAGCCAGGACACAGAACATTATGTACAAAAAAGCAGATTGTAAGGAAAGAGATGTGTACATAGAATCAAAAGATAATAATTCAATTTCAATTCAATAATGAACAATTACAAGCAAATGGTACCAGGGCACCACCTCAATGTAGGTAAGGTTATGGTAAGGTGGTCCTGTGTCGTGAGAGATCAGAGCGTAGGAAAGTGGATTGCTGAGGGGGGCCCACCTACAAATGATTGTTAGGGCCAGACACAACAACCTAGTTTTTATCAATTTATTTGACATGTTTTAACTAGAACAACCACAATGTGAAAATTGCAAAATTGCAATCAGCATGATTAGGAAAGTGTTGGGAATCTCAAAGAGGACATTCAATACAAAAGGCCAAGCTAGGATAGCAAAATGGTCAACTCTTTCTTAGACAGAAATACATTTTTTTTTTTTTTTAGTAAAGTAGAACTCAGCTTTTTGTTTCGGTCTCCCCCTGTTGCAGAGTTACCCCCACTTCCTGTCTGGTGAGTCTGTTGTGACCTTCACAGTAGATAGCAGTAAAAAAACCAGACTGGAGTTCTAATGCTTTCCTAGTACTTTGAAAGCAAAACAAAAAGTTTTGGCTGGACTTACACTTTAAATGTGCTATACTACTTTTAACATCTTAGTAATAAATGGGCAATAAAATGTAATTTATGCAATGAAATAAAAAAATACACAATATATTTTTCACTTTATACATACACCTACCTCTTCCATTGTTCTATGCGGACGGCATATCATTATGATATATATAATTCCAAGCAAAATGCCTAGTCCCATAATGATGAAGGGAATATTGGCTACCAATCTGGCTTTCAATAGAACGGTCCTAAGTTTTTCAGAAGACTCATCATCAATGAGAGCTGTCTGTAATAGAATGTCGCACAGATGTAATTACAGCAACAAAACACATTCCAGAATAAAATGACACAACATGGAAGAATGTCCATATATTGGAGAGATATGTGGATTATGTTTTTCTTGGACTTTGCCCACATTTACACTTTTAGTTAGTGGTGCCCAACACATGGCCTGTCTGACACACGCTGAGCGGCCTTCTGTGCTCCAGAAAGGGTTCTCCCTCATTATCACCAAGTACGCACACATACAGTGTTCACCCTCCTCATCTTTGCCAGGTCCCGAAGAACAACATATATGCACCACCCACCCAGATTTCAGTGACCGGCATATTCCCAAAGTGTTGGTGATCTTCAGTGATTTGGTTGATCCTGCCTGGGGCCATGTAGTAGTGAGCTCACCACGGGTGCTATCAAGATGGAGTGGGGTACAAGGGGCTTCAAGATACAGGGGTGCAGGGCCTACCTCTGTAAGTGGCAAGTAGTGGTTAGGGGCAAAGCTGAGCTCAGTAAAAATGCAGGCAAGTAGACGAGGTACAGTTGTGCCGATGGATGTGTTCTTATGCTTTCCATGGAAACACTGCTCAGTTCAGGTTGGAAGTGAGTGCAGGAAGAGGGCCACAAATTACCAAGTAAAGGATAGCTGAGGGCTACTTCAGAAAAGAGTTTAAGTCTTGGATGAGGAGATAACAGAGAGCATCTCACCCCTCCTGCTTACAGCCATCCCAGCCAGCTCACACTCCTGTCTCAAACCCTGACAGTCCTCTCACTCTAGCCTCCCTATCCCCTCCAGTTGCTTCACCAATACAATCCCTCAGATAACAGATATTCCTCCATGGCCACATCAGCCCCGCACATCAGACCAAGCCACCGCACCTACAACTGACACACATCCCTCCCTGGCTGCCTGAACAGTGCCTGTTAATCCAAAATGAAGCTAGATTTTTTTTAAATGTAAATATCCAATTAATAGCATCCTAAAAAAATATCACATTTACAAAACACAAATCTATTGTGTTGCCCTCTGTACAAGCCACAAATGAGGCCTATCACAATGTGGTCTGAGACTAGTGCCAATTTCTATATATTCAGGAGGAAGGAACAAAAGCAAATAGGAGATCTAGCTCCAGTACAAAGGCAAGGATGGTGAGTGGTGATGTTGGGAGGAAAAGGAATAGATAATAGATTATTTTTAATTCCACGTAGCTATAAGGTGTTTACATAGGTTAAATATACTGTATATGAACATGTAGTATATAAAAAGCGAAGGAAGACAAACCTCACAAGAAGATGCTCCAGAACAGTGCAAGAGCATCTTCTCAACTTACCCAGGACCCAGGATACAGAAGGGCAGTGACGTAACCCTCCCCTAGGTGATGGGGTTTACGTATAACTGGACTTTGCATTTTGATGTAAGGTCCACTTTAGTGCCTCTTTAGAAGTTAGTGTTGGCAGAAATAACACAAATAAGAAGAGTGTAAAATACAAAAGACAATATAAAAAAAGACATTCTTACCTCACTGAGGTGCATTACTGGGAAGTAGAGAGTCTGTATGTTTTTTGTAGTGCTAGAAATAAAGAAAACAATCTGTTAGTAAGGTTCAATGCCTATAATACAGTACATCTCACTTTTCTGGATTTTACAATGTGTATTCTACCTGGTGTAATTGTATATTTGCATTAAAAGCTGCATCTGAAAAGAAGCACTGATTGTCTACTGAAAATAACCCTTTCCTTTTCCTGGGTTTACAAAAACATTAGCAAAGTATTACTAGTTCGGCCTACAGGTGAAACTTGAATAATTAGAATATCGTGCAAAGTTCATTTATTTCACTAATGCAACTTAAAAGGTGAAACTAATATATGAGATAGACTCATTACATGCAAAGCAAGATAGTTCAAGCCGTGATTTGTCATAATTGTGGTGATTATGGCTTACAGCTCATGAAAACCCCAAGAACCCCAAATCCACAACCTCAAAAAAGTAGATTATTACATGCAATCAATAAAACAAGGATTGTACATAGAACAATATCGGACCTCTGAAAAGTACAAGCATGCATATGTACTCAGTACTTGGTTTGGGCCCCTTTTGCAGCAATTACTGTCATTACTTTTGCACGATATTCTAATTATTCGAGTTTCACCTGTATATGTCACAGTTTGTGTATGGTAGTTTTGGGCAGTTTCAGTTTATTTTGCTTGTATGATAAGGCACTAGGTTTTATTCTGGTGAATTATAAAAATCAAAGAAGTGACAGCGAGTATTGGAAATCCTTACATCCCATGGTAGGAAGTATAAACTCATACGTACAGTAAGTACACATACAAGATGCATCATCCCTATTATTTGCATCTTTAAAGCTCAGCAACTTCCTCTAGATGCAACTTTCTGAGGTAGTTGGGTGACTTGGGTAAGGGGCTGTACAGTGTGCGCGTGGGTGGATAATTAAAAAATGACACAATCTGGAGGAGGAGTTTGATCTTCTCTCTATAGAAGAATCATACCCTGCATCTGAACAAGTCCTAAATGAGCTTGCTGACATGTAACCATTGCTAAAAAAAAAAAAAGAAGAAGTGGGTGCACTGGGTCTCTAAGAAAATAACATGTGCACTTTAATCTGTGTTCTCCTTTCCCAGCCTGTGACTAAATAATAAAGAAGCAGCAATTCCATATCTGTATTTCAAACTGTGTATAAAAAACTTTGATAAAAAAAAAAAGGAAAAACCAATGCCCTTGTCTTTCATTTTGTCCTTCTTTTGTATACAGTGTAGATACTTACCTAAATGTAGGAATTTGTCTTACATGGACATTGACTTGCATTCTCTTGGCAGCTCTCAGTAATATTCCAGTAAGCTGAAAGATAAGGGGAACATCATTAGACACAATGTTAAAGCATATGTCAAGGATAAAAAAAATGTATGTCTCTGGAATACATGAACCTTTATTCATGTTTTTCCCTTAAAACACACTGCAAATACAGAAAAAATAACTGCTGATGCACCAGAAATTTACTGTGCTCCTTCCATCCTCTTTGATATGAGAACACAGTGGGGGAATTTATCAAATCTGGAGCAGATTTGCACTGCAGCCAATCAGTTTCTCTGTCTCATTTTCAAATCTTACCCGAGCAAACTGAAGAGAGATGTTGATTGGTTGCTATGGGCAACTGCTTCAGATTTTGTCTGCTCCAGTTTTGATAAATTCCACTCAGTGTAATTTTGGCTCTATCTTTCAAAGCAAGTGTTTGCAATGCGTTTATTTATGACGCATCACAAAGAACACAGACCTCTTCTCATCTTCCCCCTCATTCCTCATCTCTATAACCTCTCCTTGTGCACAGCCAGAGATCACAGGAAGGTATCAGCTAACATATCTGGCAAAATCAACAGGTCTTATTTTTATTTACACTTATTGCAGATATAACAAAAAATGTTCAACGGTATATTCAGCAGACCAAAAGAGAGCAAATAAGAGAAGTTTATTGCTATGGTTTACATACTCTTCAAAATATTGCCTGCTACGTGGCCATTGTCCTGGGCAATCAAAGCTCTCAGCACTACAGGCACTTGGTGCAAACATGTCCTTGGGATAGACAAAAGGTGCCTCTTTATTCATTGTCCCATCTCCCAGCACAGAGATGTTACAAGTAGTTTGTAAAGTGCAGTTGGTGTTAAAATAAGTGTCAGTAAGAAGAAAAATACTTCTGCACAATGACCAGTGAATGGCGCCGTAGCCACGCCCTCCGGCCGCAATGCGATCCGTGGCACGGGATCGCAAGGCACATTGTGCTTGCGTTCCGGCCCTGTGCCGGATTTTGATCGCATCGCACAGGTTTCCGACCCCAGGCACAATGTGCCTTGCGATCCCGAGCGGCCCGCCACGCCCCCTCCTACTGCACTAAAAAGTGAGCTGGCCGCAATTCGCCTCGCAAAACCTGTGCATCCGGCAAAATTAGGGCCGGAACGCACTGCATCTAGTGTGACTGAGCCCTTAGAACTACAACAACTTATCGACTTAAATCGATGTTGAGAATCTTTGTCAACAATTCTCATTATCAATTAGTTGATTGTTTGATTACTCGTTTCACCGGACACCGGACTCTCGGTGATGGGAGGGGACACAGACCCCTGCAGCCAGTGCTCAGCAGTGAGGAGAGCTCCAAAACTCACTCTCCTGCCGCTGCTCTGCTTCCCTGGTCTCCTCCTTGCTGGGAGCCCCTATATGCTGCAGTCTGTATCTTCAGCTGGCGCCCAGTGGGGAGGAGAGAGCGCTGTGCCTCTGCAATTCCCTGTTGCCTCCACTTCTGCCCCAGTGCCTCCGCTGTTACTCTGTGTCCCTACTGGTCGACCCTGCTGCTCCTCCCCGCGTCCCTTCTGTTTGTTCACACTGCTCATCTCCATGTCACCGCTGCTCGTTCCCGCTGCTCCTCTCAGTGTCCACGCTGCTCATTCCCACTCCTCCATGCCCCCTCTAATGGCTCGCTCCCATCCAACTGTCATATCAGCAGAGGAGGACCTGAATGAGAACATTCCCTCCTCTGCTGATTGACAGCAGGCAGTGTGTGGGTGCAAAAGCCAGCAATTTGAAACAGCCAATAGCAGGTTGGCTAATGCACCAAGCCACTGCCTGCTGTGTGTACATTCAGCTGTCTTAGTAGGCAGCTGTCATTCCCCAACTAAAACTATTGAAGTTAGGAGGTGACACTAGGGGTCTAATAGACCCTTAATGTCACCTTAAAGAGAGCCTGTCATTTCTAATGTGCTATCACATAGGGGTCTTGAGAGCCTCCCATGTGATAGCAATGAAGTAAAAAGAAAAAAGAAAGTTAAATAAAAAATACCCCCAAAAAATAAAACATTAAAGTTTTCTGACCCCACGAACGCGCTCATACTAATGGAAACACAAGTCAGATACACTTACGTATGAAAATGATGATTGTCCTGCGCATGTCAGTGATAGCCACGTGAGAGCAATAATTCTCCGGCTAATATTCATGGCTAACTCTAAACTGATGACTGATGGGCTTTTATATTTATATTTTTATACATATATAAAATAGTATTTATAATTATATTTTTTGAAAAATTTTGGTGTGTTATTTTTAAAAAAAGTCTAGTTATATGCTGAAAGGTGCGGTGCGATTGCAAAAAATGTGCAGTTTTATTCTGAAGTAAACTTTATGCTTGTAACATTGCATTTCTGTATTTTCTTTTAAAAAAAAGATCGTATTTTTTTTTAATCTGATTAAATTCGAAAAATGAATCGGCCAACTAAAAGATGAAAATAATCGTTACTTGCAGCCATAGTTGCATGTAAAATCCCTCTTGGAAAAAAAAAGAAAGACAGACAATGCTAGAAAGCAGTATTGCCTACTGAATGCTTGGAAGCTGCGGCTCTACTGCCCCCTAAAAAAGCGTCCCACTGTGGATCGCTTTTCGGGGGGGGGGGGGCAAAAAATCCACCCCCCCT